CACATTTTGCACATATTGTCTGAGATAATCTTATTTTCTGTAGATTCAGAGTTCACAAATGAGTAATACAACTGGGTTAAAGCATAGAAACACAAATATTGACACAGGAAATTCTGTCACATAGAAAGTCAGAATGCCACTTATGCATCAAAATTGAAAAAGCTTTGAAATGCTTATTTTGACCATATAATGCCAAAATGAGTAATTTTTGCAGAATTTCTATCAAATAAAAGTTTAAATCCTTTAGTTTCATGCTATTTGACAAATTGACACCATTAAATCATTCAGGGAAGTTGCCAAAGTACAGATTCAATATTTACTGATTTCGCCTCTTAGGTCCGAGTACACAGTTATTTCGTAGTGCATTTCTTTTAGACAATAAATGAAAATAAAAAAAATCCCACCTGCGCTTTCTCAATAATATTTTTACAGTGTGTTGTACTACTTTTGGGACAAATTATATCAAAATTATAGAAAACTTCATCGGCTCTAACTCAAAATATGGACAATTCTATGTTAAGGGGGTCTTGAAATCTTTTGACAGCTTCCGAAGTGCTAATTTTTAACCTTTTTCAGCTGGACCAAATCACTACTTTACTTTACAATTCATGACCCAAATTTTTTTACAGTGTAATTTCATCCCCCTACTTGCTATTTGAGGCATAAAACATTAAGAAATACATTTGGAAGGGGTACTAAAAAAATTGGCAAGCAACACACTGTCCACACTAGGGACTTTATTCGTGGACAACGAAAATCAAAGGACGATAACTGTGTACTCGGACCTAATAGGATAGAAAAATTTGACCAATCTTAATAAAACTTGGTATGACCAAAGCTTAATAAATTATGAGACTGCTGACAAAGTTTCATGGCAATAGGATATATATTATAGACAATATGATAAATTCTATATATAACTTCGCGTGTTAAATTTTGACGTTAAAATTGAAAAATTTCAACTATCAACATTTGGGGCTTTAAAAATTAAAATATTGCAAAAAAATACATTTTAAATGCCTTAATATATGACATTTTATGTATTTAAAGCAATAGAATACTCATTTGATTTATCAGACTTATCACAATTATTTAAAAGTCAAATTTATATGAGCCTGTGCCAAAAAATGGAGGTTTTCCAATGAAGGGGGGCCTTACATGAAGATGTATTATTTTCCAGCAATTTTAAATTTGTGGAGTTTTTTGGTTATAAATAATCCTTACATATGTATTAAATGTACTTTAAATGGAAAGAAAAATTACAAATAGCATACCATATTAGTATAAAAGGGTCTTAAGCCAAGTAAGACTGAAAATAATTTAGGGTCAATTTAGGCCGTAGCACATATTTACATTTAAAAATGCATACTGAAGCTATAGGAAATAAAAATTTGTGTCTTTTTTATAATTTCTATACTCAGGTTACATGATACAATAAATCTGAGCATAAAAGGACTCCTGCATTCAACCTTTTTGCAGACAGTATGGTCTGATACAAAGATTTTTCACTTTTTAGTGAAAAATTTGCATGCAATTTTAGCCTCAACAGGCTTATATTTGAACCACTTGCTATTTAACATAAGAAAAGAAAGATACTATGTGAAATGAAACAGGTACAAAAGACATTGTGAAGTGCTTTTAATACAAATTTAGTGAAATCTTTATTATGGACTTCAACTTTTATGTACCAAGGTCCTCACATTTAACTTGATCCAAACAGGCCGTTAGACGAGGGTCATTTATACAACACATTTTGCACATATTGTCTGAGATAATCTTATTTTCTGTAGATTCAGAGTTCACAAATGAGTAATACAACTGGGTTAAAGCATAGAAACACAAATATTGACACAGGAAATTCTGTCACATAGAAAGTCAGAATGCCACTTATGCATCAAAATTGAAAAAGCTTTGAAATGCTTATTTTGACCATATAATGCCAAAATGAGTAATTTTTGCAGAATTTCTATCAAATAAAAGTTTAAATCCTTTAGTTTCATGCTATTTGACAAATTGACACCATTAAATCATTCAGGGAAGTTGCCAAAGTACAGATTCAATATTTACTGATTTCGCCTCTTAGGTCCGAGTACACAGTTATTTCGTAGTGCATTTCTTTTAGACAATAAATGAAAATAAAAAAAATCCCACCTGCGCTTTCTCAATAATATTTTTACAGTGTGTTGTACTACTTTTGGGACAAATTATATCAAAATTATAGAAAACTTCATCGGCTCTAACTCAAAATATGGACAATTCTATGTTAAGGGGGTCTTGAAATCTTTTGACAGCTTCCGAAGTGCTAATTTTTAACCTTTTTCAGCTGGACCAAATCACTACTTTACTTTACAATTCATGACCCAAATTTTTTTACAGTGTAATTTCATCCCCCTACTTGCTATTTGAGGCATAAAACATTAAGAAATACATTTGGAAGGGGTACTAAAAAAATTGGCAAGCAACACACTGTCCACACTAGGGACTTTATTCGTGGACAACGAAAATCAAAGGACGATAACTGTGTACTCGGACCTAATAGGATAGAAAAATTTGACCAATCTTAATAAAACTTGGTATGACCAAAGCTTAATAAATTATGAGACTGCTGACAAAGTTTCATGGCAATAGGATATATATTATAGACAATATGATAAATTCTATATATAACTTCGCGTGTTAAATTTTGACGTTAAAATTGAAAAATTTCAACTATCAACATTTGGGGCTTTAAAAATTAAAATATTGCAAAAAAATACATTTTAAATGCCTTAATATATGACATTTTATGTATTTAAAGCAATAGAATACTCATTTGATTTATCAGACTTATCACAATTATTTAAAAGTCAAATTTATATGAGCCTGTGCCAAAAAATGGAGGTTTTCCAATGAAGGGGGGCCTTACATGAAGATGTATTATTTTCCAGCAATTTTAAATTTGTGGAGTTTTTTGGTTATAAATAATCCTTACATATGTATTAAATGTACTTTAAATGGAAAGAAAAATTACAAATAGCATACCATATTAGTATAAAAGGGTCTTAAGCCAAGTAAGACTGAAAATAATTTAGGGTCAATTTAGGCCGTAGCACATATTTACATTTAAAAATGCATACTGAAGCTATAGGAAATAAAAATTTGTGTCTTTTTTATAATTTCTATACTCAGGTTACATGATACAATAAATCTGAGCATAAAAGGACTCCTGCATTCAACCTTTTTGCAGACAGTATGGTCTGATACAAAGATTTTTCACTTTTTAGTGAAAAATTTGCATGCAATTTTAGCCTCAACAGGCTTATATTTGAACCACTTGCTATTTAACATAAGAAAAGAAAGATACTATGTGAAATGAAACAGGTACAAAAGACATTGTGAAGTGCTTTTAATACAAATTTAGTGAAATCTTTATTATGGACTTCAACTTTTATGTACCAAGGTCCTCACATTTAACTTGATCCAAACAGGCCGTTAGACGAGGGTCATTTATACAACACATTTTGCACATATTGTCTGAGATAATCTTATTTTCTGTAGATTCAGAGTTCACAAATGAGTAATACAACTGGGTTAAAGCATAGAAACACAAATATTGACACAGGAAATTCTGTCACATAGAAAGTCAGAATGCCACTTATGCATCAAAATTGAAAAAGCTTTGAAATGCTTATTTTGACCATATAATGCCAAAATGAGTAATTTTTGCAGAATTTCTATCAAATAAAAGTTTAAATCCTTTAGTTTCATGCTATTTGACAAATTGACACCATTAAATCATTCAGGGAAGTTGCCAAAGTACAGATTCAATATTTACTGATTTCGCCTCTTAGGTCCGAGTACACAGTTATTTCGTAGTGCATTTCTTTTAGACAATAAATGAAAATAAAAAAAATCCCACCTGCGCTTTCTCAATAATATTTTTACAGTGTGTTGTACTACTTTTGGGACAAATTATATCAAAATTATAGAAAACTTCATCGGCTCTAACTCAAAATATGGACAATTCTATGTTAAGGGGGTCTTGAAATCTTTTGACAGCTTCCGAAGTGCTAATTTTTAACCTTTTTCAGCTGGACCAAATCACTACTTTACTTTACAATTCATGACCCAAATTTTTTTACAGTGTAATTTCATCCCCCTACTTGCTATTTGAGGCATAAAACATTAAGAAATACATTTGGAAGGGGTACTAAAAAAATTGGCAAGCAACACACTGTCCACACTAGGGACTTTATTCGTGGACAACGAAAATCAAAGGACGATAACTGTGTACTCGGACCTAATAGGATAGAAAAATTTGACCAATCTTAATAAAACTTGGTATGACCAAAGCTTAATAAATTATGAGACTGCTGACAAAGTTTCATGGCAATAGGATATATATTATAGACAATATGATAAATTCTATATATAACTTCGCGTGTTAAATTTTGACGTTAAAATTGAAAAATTTCAACTATCAACATTTGGGGCTTTAAAAATTAAAATATTGCAAAAAAATACATTTTAAATGCCTTAATATATGACATTTTATGTATTTAAAGCAATAGAATACTCATTTGATTTATCAGACTTATCACAACCCTACTGAAAATGTAAAGTGGGATTTCACTGAAAATACCAGTGGAGTTTCATCAGAGTTCCATTGGAATACCACTGTATTACCACTGGGAAATTTGGTCGGGATTTTCATTGGACATTCATTGTTTTCCATTGGGATATCAGTGGAATATCCAGTGGGATTCCGGTGAATACTCGAGTGGAATACAGTGGAAATTCCATTGGAATACCAGTGAAAACTTCGTTGGAATACCATTGTTTTCCCACTGGACATTTATTGTTTTCTACTGGGATACCAGTGGTAATTCCATTGGAAATTGTAACAATCAACCAAAGAAAACCAGTGATATTTCAATGGAAATTGACAATTCCACTGAAATGTTAGATATCATTTTGCATGCACTGCTTATTTTTGAATGAATTAATAAGAAAACTTGAAATAAGACAATAACCATTTTAATGCAAGTCAACAATTAAAGAAATTACAACAGTTTATACATCATCCACATTTAAGACCTTTTAAACGAAAAGATCAACCTCTTTAAAATATTAACGTTGATAAATTATCATTTTTTAGTCAAAGATGTATTTACTTAATTGTACATGTAAATCATTTTTCTGGTTAAATCATTCATAAGTCCATGGTAACTTTTGGTCCTCTTGAAATCTTTCACAAATGGTTTTAATTTTCAATTTTACAAATTTGTTTATTGTGCATTAACCAAACAAAAATGTCCAGTTTACATGCATACGAAATACTTTGTCAGTTTGGTCAGTTTTCTTCATCATCCATTGATATTATTCATGAATTAAGTCCAAAGTTTCTGCATTCCAATCCTGTTCCATTAAGTCTTCATCGATTAATCTGAAAGAAAAAAAATCATACATCATAACATGCATAGAATTTTGAATTAAAATAACATTACAATACCATGCTCCAGTCTGCAATTATTCAAAAATATATGTTACTGGCATATATATTTTATTTGTGTTTGTGTGTAATTTATTCACAACATTTATACACTAAGAGCAATTTAGACACATGTATGTCTATTGTTGAAGACTATGTGTTCTCTAGATATCTTTGGCTATAGTTGTTGGGTTGCTGTCTCTTAGACTTATAACACACATCTCTTTTTATCAAAATAGACTTCTATTGTTCATGGATCAGGTGTCTCTCAAAGCCAAATAAAATAGTATGTGTGGTTCCAGTTACATTTAAAAAAAATTAGGGTAGGTAGGTAAGAATTTTTTTTATTTTATGGTTTTTTTTTACATTGAGTCTATCATGTCTGCAATTATTCAAAAATATATGTTACTGGCATATATATTTTATTTGTGTTTGTGTGTAATTTATTCACAACATTTATACACTAAGAGCAATTTAGACACATGTATGTCTATTGTTGAAGACTATGTGTTCTCTAGATATCTTTGGCTATAGTTGTTGGGTTGCTGTCTCTTTGACTTATAACACACATCTCTTTTTATCAAAATAGACTTTTATTGTTCATGGATCAGGTGTCTCTCAAAGCCAAATAAAATAGTATGTGTGGTTCCAGTTATATTTAAAAAAAAATTAGGGTAGTTAGAATTTTTTTTATTTTATGGTTTTTTTTTACATTGAGTCTATCATGTCTATGGGAGCAACATTTTGACTTAAACAGTACTTACTGAAAAATGACAAAAAAATCTTTAGGGTAGGCTATTGTTAAGACTAAACAAAAAGGTAGGTAAGGTAATTGGAACCACGCATATATTTTTATTTAGCCTCATATTATCTTTCCCTTTGTGTTGTGTTTGTTGTTGGTTTACTATCTGGTTGAAGCATACCAGACACCTCATTTTGTTCACATAATAGCCATGATTAACCATTGTGCATGATGATCAGATCAATGTTTTTGAGATGTGTTTACAGCTTATAGATGTGAATGATTAACATGATTAATGTATTTTTATTTCAAGTGTGGGAAGGATGAAAAAATAATTCAATAAGTACCTTTCAATAATCTTATACTCAAATTTCTTTTCTGCTGCTGGTTCGTTTGTTTTCATCGTGTTTTCATATTATTGAGTGGATATTGATCGATGCACAGTCATCATTTTTGCAGCTTTGTACCTTCACCATGATCAATCCCTTTTAATATATGGACAACCTAAAAAAAATGTAAAAACATTTTATTAATCATTTTTAATTCTGGTCATGACCTGTATGCATCATATATTACTGATATTTATCATACAATGTACATATATAATTAAGAAGCTTCTTTCAGTTAAGTATAAAGACTCTAAAACACAATATTAACCTTTAGGGATTTTTTGTGTTGCATGTCCATCCAAATCAGAACATGACAAAATTAAGTTGAATGTGCCTGAGATTGTGTAGTAAACTGTAAACATCTTTCCTTGATTGTGAAGGCACACAATGTAATTTAATATTGAATAATAAAATTATTATTACATTCCCACCTCCCCCTTTTCAGAACACCAAATGGTCATCCTCAAAGTGTGAACTAACAGAGCCCATGAATAAAACTAAAGGGGGTATATATCTTTTCTTTTTAATTTTAATTAAAAATATTCATGATGTAAAAATCAAATGTAAAATCTCTTAAAAATTACCTGTATCTGCTGTACGTCTGCCCTACATCAGCACATCGTCTCATCGTAAATTCTTGGTTCAACAGCTAATGTCATACCTAAATGTTCTGCCTTTAATGTCTATTTCTTTATTTATCGAAGGTTGTTGAGTATTAATTATTATTAACATGATTAATGTAACCACAGCTGGACAATGCTGGACAGGATACATACTCGTACAATATTTTTAGTTTCAAATTTGAACACATTCCGTGTATTAATGATAACGACTATCTGATTGGCCGATCGGAAATCCCGGATATAGAGTTATCCAATCAAATCAGCGGTTATATATATAGTCTGGTAGAAAAAAATGGCAGCCTCCATGAATGTAAACATGTGTGTTGAAAAACAACATTATAGACTACAGTTTCACGAATTTTCTGCTCAAATTATGCCAAAAACACTGACATTTAGCGTACAATTGATTGGAGCGGATTATATGTGAAATGTTTCTATAGATTAACTTATATGACCCGAGTTCCAGTGCCGAGTTCAGGACATGAAAATGATGAAAAATTCATCACACGGACAAAGTTAAGATACCGAAACAGTTTATAGAACAATGTGGAAAATGAAAGCCGTTCACTTTACTTTTCTCAAAAGAACAGTAGACCAGTAACAGTTAATGAACATGATGAAGTCAAAGGAGAAATAATTATATTATTGTATACATGTAGACTGTAGTGCAGGGCAGTTGCCAGTACGGTCACTTGAAGAAAAAAACGGAGTTATCCTAACAATTCGTACAGTCTGAAGATAATTTCTGCAACAGATCTGTTTAAAACGGCCCTTTTAAGAGCCATGCACATTTTTCAAAAAGAATCTTAATTGTTTTTGTTCGTTAAATCAACCAGAATCTTATTCTCAACCCAATTTGATATAAAATATTCATTTCTTTATTTATATTATCTGATTATTGCACATTTAATTTTATTTCTTAATAGTTAAAATGTATCCTTTCAATGTGTCATACTCATAGGCTATATGGTGATGCATTATATTCACCCTACATCTGAGGAGCTACCATTTTACTTATTTTATATGGGTGTGGGGGGGGGGGGGGGGGGGTCTTTCAGACCAAATGATTATTTTCATTTGTTACTAGGCAAGTGATTTCATATTACATTTAACCATGTAACATTTTTTGAACAAATGTTTCATATACATGTATATATGTAGGTTTATGAAATATTCATAATACATCCCTTATATTATCATGATTATAATATTTAATTTCTTATCAGGCCAGCAAATTATATGCTACAAATTAAATCCTTTATATAATAATCATGCACTTAATTATTTGAAAAATTTAAATTAGAAGTATATATTCCTTTAAATTTCTAAGTCCAAAATTCCACTGGAATATTTGCATTAAATCAAAACTCCACTGAAATATAAACAATAATATTCCACTGGAAATTAATTGGAAAATCTTTGGAAGTTTCATTGGAAATTTCACTGATTTTCCATTGGAATTACAGTGTGAAAAATATTCCAGATGTTTTGGATGAAATTCTAATGGGATTCCATCGGAATATTTTTTTCCACTGAATACCCTACTGAAAATGTAAAGTGGGATTTCACTGAAAATACCAGTGGAGTTTCATCAGAGTTCCATTGGAATACCACTGTATTACCACTGGGAAATTTGGTCGGGATTTTCATTGGACATTCATTGTTTTCCATTGGGATATCAGTGGAATATCCAGTGGGATTCCGGTGAATACTCGAGTGGAATACAGTGGAAATTCCATTGGAATACCAGTGAAAACTTCGTTGGAATACCATTGTTTTCCCACTGGACATTTATTGTTTTCTACTGGGATACCAGTGGTAATTCCATTGGAAATTGTAACAATCAACCAAAGAAAACCAGTGATATTTCAATGGAAATTGACAATTCCACTGAAATGTTAGATATCATTTTGCATGCACTGCTTATTTTTGAATGAATTAATAAGAAAACTTGAAATAAGACAATAACCATTTTAATGCAAGTCAACAATTAAAGAAATTACAACAGTTTATACATCATCCACATTTAAGACCTTTTAAACGAAAAGATCAACCTCTTTAAAATATTAACGTTGATAAATTATCATTTTTTAGTCAAAGATGTATTTACTTAATTGTACATGTAAATCATTTTTCTGGTTAAATCATTCATAAGTCCATGGTAACTTTTGGTCCTCTTGAAATCTTTCACAAATGGTTTTAATTTTCAATTTTACAAATTTGTTTATTGTGCATTAACCAAACAAAAATGTCCAGTTTACATGCATACGAAATACTTTGTCAGTTTGGTCAGTTTTCTTCATCATCCATTGATATTATTCATGAATTAAGTCCAAAGTTTCTGCATTCCAATCCTGTTCCATTAAGTCTTCATCGATTAATCTGAAAGAAAAAAAATCATACATCATAACATGCATAGAATTTTGAATTAAAATAACATTACAATACCATGCTCCAGTCTGCAATTATTCAAAAATATATGTTACTGGCATATATATTTTATTTGTGTTTGTGTGTAATTTATTCACAACATTTATACACTAAGAGCAATTTAGACACATGTATGTCTATTGTTGAAGACTATGTGTTCTCTAGATATCTTTGGCTATAGTTGTTGGGTTGCTGTCTCTTAGACTTATAACACACATCTCTTTTTATCAAAATAGACTTCTATTGTTCATGGATCAGGTGTCTCTCAAAGCCAAATAAAATAGTATGTGTGGTTCCAGTTACATTTAAAAAAAATTAGGGTAGGTAGGTAAGAATTTTTTTTATTTTATGGTTTTTTTTTACATTGAGTCTATCATGTCTGCAATTATTCAAAAATATATGTTACTGGCATATATATTTTATTTGTGTTTGTGTGTAATTTATTCACAACATTTATACACTAAGAGCAATTTAGACACATGTATGTCTATTGTTGAAGACTATGTGTTCTCTAGATATCTTTGGCTATAGTTGTTGGGTTGCTGTCTCTTTGACTTATAACACACATCTCTTTTTATCAAAATAGACTTTTATTGTTCATGGATCAGGTGTCTCTCAAAGCCAAATAAAATAGTATGTGTGGTTCCAGTTATATTTAAAAAAAAATTAGGGTAGTTAGAATTTTTTTTATTTTATGGTTTTTTTTTACATTGAGTCTATCATGTCTATGGGAGCAACATTTTGACTTAAACAGTACTTACTGAAAAATGACAAAAAAATCTTTAGGGTAGGCTATTGTTAAGACTAAACAAAAAGGTAGGTAAGGTAATTGGAACCACGCATATATTTTTATTTAGCCTCATATTATCTTTCCCTTTGTGTTGTGTTTGTTGTTGGTTTACTATCTGGTTGAAGCATACCAGACACCTCATTTTGTTCACATAATAGCCATGATTAACCATTGTGCATGATGATCAGATCAATGTTTTTGAGATGTGTTTACAGCTTATAGATGTGAATGATTAACATGATTAATGTATTTTTATTTCAAGTGTGGGAAGGATGAAAAAATAATTCAATAAGTACCTTTCAATAATCTTATACTCAAATTTCTTTTCTGCTGCTGGTTCGTTTGTTTTCATCGTGTTTTCATATTATTGAGTGGATATTGATCGATGCACAGTCATCATTTTTGCAGCTTTGTACCTTCACCATGATCAATCCCTTTTAATATATGGACAACCTAAAAAAAATGTAAAAACATTTTATTAATCATTTTTAATTCTGGTCATGACCTGTATGCATCATATATTACTGATATTTATCATACAATGTACATATATAATTAAGAAGCTTCTTTCAGTTAAGTATAAAGACTCTAAAACACAATATTAACCTTTAGGGATTTTTTGTGTTGCATGTCCATCCAAATCAGAACATGACAAAATTAAGTTGAATGTGCCTGAGATTGTGTAGTAAACTGTAAACATCTTTCCTTGATTGTGAAGGCACACAATGTAATTTAATATTGAATAATAAAATTATTATTACATTCCCACCTCCCCCTTTTCAGAAGGAAGCAAGTTAACTCGTACCATTGTTAACTCGTACCACGTAAACTCGTACCAAAAAAGTTAATTCGTACCAACGTAAACTCGTACCACTGGGAAGTCGTACCAATCAGAACTCGTACCATTAAAAATATTCAAAAATACGAATGTTTTATGATTTTTTTTTTGGTAAACTAAATAAAAAAAGTTGAATTACTTGAATTTTATACTAGATTTTAATGAAAACTTAGACAAAAATACGAATGTTTTTATGAATATTTTTTTTTTAAGCTTTATACAAAAAATTAAAATATCTTTGAATTTTATACCAGATTTTAATGAAAACTTAGACAAAAATACGAATGTTTTTATGATTATTTTTTTTTTTAAAGCTTTATACAAAAAATTAAAATATCTTTGAATTTTATACCAGATTTTAATGAAAACTTAGACAAAAATACGAATGTAATTCTTAATTACCATGCTTATACATATATTAAATTCCTTTGATTGTGTGATTATTGGTTGATTATTAACTAATCAACTTGTTTAATCATATTAGCATGATCATATTCTGCTAAAATGTGCTGAATATTGTATAAAAATAAATTTCATACTTTCTAACTGTTGGTCATAAACAATTTTAAACCTTTAAAACACAATAAATAAATTCTTTCATTAAATAAAATTCCTTTTAGAACCAATAGAAAAATACTATTCAATGTTACTGATTTGGAATGATTAAAAATTAAGTCAAATAGTTGTCAGTAAAAGTTTAAAAAAGAGTCTATTCAAGGGAGACAACAAAGCCAATCTGCCACGGTTTTCTCTATCCAATTAGACAAGGAAAATTAGCTACAAATTGGTCATTGTAATTTCAAATTATATACATTTTACAGACTTAAGAGGTATTGAGTGAAATTAAAGTATATATTCATCATTAAACACCATTTGAATGCATTTAAATAAGTTGGTACGAGTTTACAATGGTATGAATTTACCGTGGTACGAGTTAGTAGTGGTACGAGTTTGCATTGGTACGAGTTTTTTTTAGTGGTACGAGTTGACATTGGTACGAGTTTACAATGGTACGAGATAACTATAATTCTTTCAGAACACCAAATGGTCATCCTCAAAGTGTGAACTAACAGAGCCCATGAATAAAACTAAAGGGGGTATATATCTTTTCTTTTTAATTTTAATTAAAAATATTCATGATGTAAAAATCAAATGTAAAATCTCTTAAAAATTACCTGTATCTGCTGTACGTCTGCCCTACATCAGCACATCGTCTCATCGTAAATTCTTGGTTCAACAGCTAATGTCATACCTAAATGTTCTGCCTTTAATGTCTATTTCTTTATTTATCGAAGGTTGTTGAGTATTAATTATTATTAACATGATTAATGTAACCACAGCTGGACAATGCTGGACAGGATACATACTCGTACAATATTTTTAGTTTCAAATTTGAACACATTCCGTGTATTAATGATAACGACTATCTGATTGGCCGATCGGAAATCCCGGATATAGAGTTATCCAATCAAATCAGCGGTTATATATATAGTCTGGTAGAAAAAAATGGCAGCCTCCATGAATGTAAACATGTGTGTTGAAAAACAACATTATAGACTACAGTTTCACGAATTTTCTGCTCAAATTATGCCAAAAACACTGACATTTAGCGTACAATTGATTGGAGCGGATTATATGTGAAATGTTTCTATAGATTAACTTATATGACCCGAGTTCCAGTGCCGAGTTCAGGACATGAAAATGATGAAAAATTCATCACACGGACAAAGTTAAGATACCGAAACAGTTTATAGAACAATGTGGAAAATGAAAGCCGTTCACTTTACTTTTCTCAAAAGAACAGTAGACCAGTAACAGTTAATGAACATGATGAAGTCAAAGGAGAAATAATTATATTATTGTATACATGTAGACTGTAGTGCAGGGCAGTTGCCAGTACGGTCACTTGAAGAAAAAAACGGAGTTATCCTAACAATTCGTACAGTCTGAAGATAATTTATGCAACAGATCTGTTTAAAACGGCCCTTTTAAGAGCCATGCACATTTTTCAAAAAGAATCTTAATTGTTTTTGTTCGTTAAATCAACCAGAATCTTATTCTCAACCCAATTTGATATAAAATATTCATTTCTTTATTTATATTATCTGATTATTGCACATTTAATTTTATTTCTTAATAGTTAAAATGTATCCTTTCAATGTGTCATACTCATAGGCTATATGGTGATGCATTATATTCACCCTACATCTGAGGAGCTACCATTTTACTTATTTTATATGGGTGTGGGGGGGGGGGGGGGTCTTTCAGACCAAATGATTATTTTCATTTGTTACTAGGCAAGTGATTTCATATTACATTTAACCATGTAACATTTTTTGAACAAATGTTTCATATACATGTATATATGTAGGTTTATGAAATATTCATAATACATCCCTTATATTATCATGATTATAATATTTAATTTCTTATCAGGCCAGCAAATTATATGCTACAAATTAAATCCTTTATATAATAATCATGCACTTAATTATTTGAAAAATTTAAATTAGAAGTATATATTCCTTTAAATTTCTAAGTCCAAAATTCCACTGGAATATTTGCATTAAATCAAAACTCCACTGAAATATAAACAATAATATTCCACTGGAAATTAATTGGAAAATCTTTGGAAGTTTCATTGGAAATTTCACTGATTTTCCATTGGAATTACAGTGTGAAAAATATTCCAGATGTTTTGGATGAAATTCTAATGGGATTCCATCGGAATATTTTTTTCCACTGAATACCAGTGTAATTTCACTGGAAATCCAGTGGAATCCCGTACTCATTTTCAGTAGGGTACCAGTGTAATTTCACTGGAAATCCAGTGGAATCCCGTACTCATTTTCAGTAGGGAATTATTTAAAAGTCAAATTTATATGAGCCTGTGCCAAAAAATGGAGGTTTTCCAATGAAGGGGGGCCTTACATGAAGATGTATTATTTTCCAGCAATTTTAAATTTGTGGAGTTTTTTGGTTATAAATAATCCTTACATATGTATTAAATGTACTTTAAATGGAAAGAAAAATTACAAATAGCATACCATATTAGTATAAAAGGGTCTTAAGCCAAGTAAGACTGAAAATAATTTAGGGTCAATTTAGGCCGTAGCACATATTTACATTTAAAAATGCATACTGAAGCTATAGGAAATAAAAATTTGTGTCTTTTTTATAATTTCTATACTCAGGTTACATGATACAATAAATCTGAGCATAAAAGGACTCCTGCATTCAACCTTTTTGCAGACAGTATGGTCTGATACAAAGATTTTTCACTTTTTAGTGAAAAATTTGCATGCAATTTTAGCCTCAACAGGCTTATATTTGAACCACTTGCTATTTAACATAAGAAAAGAAAGATACTATGTGAAATGAAACAGGTACAAAAGACATTGTGAAGTGCTTTTAATACAAATTTAGTGAAATCTTTATTATGGACTTCAACTTTTATGTACCAAGGTCCTCACATTTAACTTGATCCAAACAGGCCGTTAGACGAGGGTCATTTATACAACACATTTTGCACATATTGTCTGAGATAATCTTATTTTCTGTAGATTCAGAGTTCACAAATGAGTAATACAACTGGGTTAAAGCATAGAAACACAAATATTGACACAGGAAATTCTGTCACATAGAAAGTCAGAATGCCACTTATGCATCAAAATTGAAAAAGCTTTGAAATGCTTATTTTGACCATATAATGCCAAAATGAGTAATTTTTGCAGAATTTCTATCAAATAAAAGTTTAAATCCTTTAGTTTCATGCTATTTGACAAATTGACACCATTAAATCATTCAGGGAAGTTGCCAAAGTACAGATTCAATATTTACTGATTTCGCCTCTTAGGTCCGAGTACACAGTTATTTCGTAGTGCATTTCTTTTAGACAATAAATGAAAATAAAAAAAATCCCACCTGCGCTTTCTCAATAATATTTTTACAGTGTGTTGTACTACTTTTGGGACAAATTATATCAAAATTATAGAAAACTTCATCGGCTCTAACTCAAAATATGGACAATTCTATGTTAAGGGGGTCTTGAAATCTTTTGACAGCTTCCGAAGTGCTAATTTTTAACCTTTTTCAGCTGGACCAAATCACTACTTTACTTTACAATTCATGACCCAAATTTTTTTACAGTGTAATTTCATCCCCCTACTTGCTATTTGAGGCATAAAACATTAAGAAATACATTTGGAAGGGGTACTAAAAAAATTGGCAAGCAACACACTGTCCACACTAGGGACTTTATTCGTGGACAACGAAAATCAAAGGACGATAACTGTGTACTCGGACCTAATAGGATAGAAAAATTTGACCAATCTTAATAAAACTTGGTATGACCAAAGCTTAATAAATTATGAGACTGCTGACAAAGTTTCATGGCAATAGGATATATATTATAGACAATATGATAAATTCTATATATAACTTCGCGTGTTAAATTTTGACGTTAAAATTGAAAAATTTCAACTATCAACATTTGGGGCTTTAAAAATTAAAATATTGCAAAAAAATACATTTTAAATGCCTTAATATATGACATTTTATGTATTTAAAGCAATAGAATACTCATTTGATTTATCAGACTTATCACAATTATTTAAAAGTCAAATTTATATGAGCCTGTGCCAAAAAATGGAGGTTTTCCAATGAAGGGGGGCCTTACATGAAGATGTATTATTTTCCAGCAATTTTAAATTTGTGGAGTTTTTTGGTTATAAATAATCCTTACATATGTATTAAATGTACTTTAAATGGAAAGAAAAATTACAAATAGCATACCATATTAGTATAAAAGGGTCTTAAGCCAAGTAAGACTGAAAATAATTTAGGGTCAATTTAGGCCGTAGCACATATTTACATTTAAAAATGCATACTGAAGCTATAGGAAATAAAAATTTGTGTCTTTTTTATAATTTCTATACTCAGGTTACATGATACAATAAATCTGAGCATAAAAGGACTCCTGCATTCAACCTTTTTGCAGACAGTATGGTCTGATACAAAGATTTTTCACTTTTTAGTGAAAAATTTGCATGCAATTTTAGCCTCAACAGGCTTATATTTGAACCACTTGCTATTTAACATAAGAAAAGAAAGATACTATGTGAAATGAAACAGGTACAAAAGACATTGTGAAGTGCTTTTAATACAAATTTAGTGAAATCTTTATTATGGACTTCAACTTTTATGTACCAAGGTCCTCACATTTAACTTGATCCAAACAGGCCGTTAGACGAGGGTCATTTATACAACACATTTTGCACATATTGTCTGAGATAATCTTATTTTCTGTAGATTCAGAGTTCACAAATGAGTAATACAACTGGGTTAAAGCATAGAAACACAAATATTGACACAGGAAATTCTGTCACATAGAAAGTCAGAATGCCACTTATGCATCAAAATTGAAAAAGCTTTGAATTAAATGCTTATTTTGACCATATAATGCCAAAATGAGTAATTTTTGCAGAATTTCTATCAAATAAAAGTTTAAATCCTTTAGTTTCATGCTATTTGACAAATTGACACCATTAAATCATTCAGGGAAGTTGCCAAAGTACAGATTCAATATTTACTGATTTCGCCTCTTAGGTCCGAGTACACAGTTATTTCGTAGTGCATTTCTTTTAGACAATAAATGAAAATAAAAAAAATCCCACCTGCGCTTTCTCAATAATATTTTTACAGTGTGTTGTACTACTTTTGGGACAAATTATATCAAAATTATAGAAAACTTCATCGGCTCTAACTCAAAATATGGACAATTCTATGTTAAGGGGGTCTTGAAATCTTTTGACAGCTTCCGAAGTGCTAATTTTTAACCTTTTTCAGCTGGACCAAATCACTACTTTACTTTACAATTCATGACCCAAATTTTTTTACAGTGTAATTTCATCCCCCTACTTGCTATTTGAGGCATAAAACATTAAGAAATACATTTGGAAGGGGTACTAAAAAAATTGGCAAGCAACACACTGTCCACACTAGGGACTTTATTCGTGGACAACGAAAATCAAAGGACGATAACTGTGTACTCGGACCTAATAGGATAGAAAAATTTGACCAATCTTAATAAAACTTGGTATGACCAAAGCTTAATAAATTATGAGACTGCTGACAAAGTTTCATGGCAATAGGATATATATTATAGACAATATGATAAATTCTATATATAACTTCGCGTGTTAAATTTTGACGTTAAAATTGAAAAATTTCAACTATCAACATTTGGGGCTTTAAAAATTAAAATATTGCAAAAAAATACATTTTAAATGCCTTAATATATGACATTTTATGTATTTAAAGCAATAGAATACTCATTTGATTTATCAGACTTATCACAATTATTTAAAAGTCAAATTTATATGAGCCTGTGCCAAAAAATGGAGGTTTTCCAATGAAGGGGGGCCTTACATGAAGATGTATTATTTTCCAGCAATTTTAAATTTGTGGAGTTTTTTGGTTATAAATAATCCTTACATATGTATTAAATGTACTTTAAATGGAAAGAAAAATTACAAATAGCATACCATATTAGTATAAAAGGGTCTTAAGCCAAGTAAGACTGAAAATAATTTAGGGTCAATTTAGGCCGTAGCACATATTTACATTTAAAAATGCATACTGAAGCTATAGGAAATAAAAATTTGTGTCTTTTTTATAATTTCTATACTCAGGTTACATGATACAATAAATCTGAGCATAAAAGGACTCCTGCATTCAACCTTTTTGCAGACAGTATGGTCTGATACAAAGATTTTTCACTTTTTAGTGAAAAATTTGCATGCAATTTTAGCCTCAACAGGCTTATATTTGAACCACTTGCTATTTAACATAAGAAAAGAAAGATACTATGTGAAATGAAACAGGTACAAAAGACATTGTGAAGTGCTTTTAATACAAATTTAGTGAAATCTTTATTATGGACTTCAACTTTTATGTACCAAGGTCCTCACATTTAACTTGATCCAAACAGGCCGTTAGACGAGGGTCATTTATACAACACATTTTGCACATATTGTCTGAGATAATCTTATTTTCTGTAGATTCAGAGTTCACAAATGAGTAATACAACTGGGTTAAAGCATAGAAACACAAATATTGACACAGGAAATTCTGTCACATAGAAAGTCAGAATGCCACTTATGCATCAAAATTGAAAAAGCTTTGAATTAAATGCTTATTTTGACCATATAATGCCAAAATGAGTAATTTTTGCAGAATTTCTATCAAATAAAA